GTTTTACTTAGTCCTAGTCTTCTTCTCCTCTAATATCGCTATTATAGTTATTTAAACCCCCATTAGGTTATAGCCGGACTGTATTTATTTTTGTAAATAACCGCGGGCACTTTTTAAATTAGTACGACCTATTATTATAGTTAGTATACTTACCCTCCTTCTTCTATTTATTCTTCTATTTCTAAGAGACTTCGTTACTCCCCTTTATCTTTATTAGTGTAGCAAAATTAATAGAAGTATTTATAGGATTACTAGTATTATTTTTAACTGGGTACTTCGAACTCGATATCGAAATGAAAAAGGCATTACTATTAAAATAGCGGAGGTAATTAAGCAATAGAAAATACTATTTAAATATATCGATTCTTTCTAAGAACCGTTACTTCTAATTATTATTTAGGGTAGTAGTAAGCTAATTAATCTTAATTACTTTTAACTATAAATTAGTGCGGGTATAATAAAGTACTTCCTCGAAGCGGGTGAAAAAAATTACTATCGACTCGCCTAACTTCTAACGAAGTTGGTAGAGTTCTTAACTAACGTATTTCGTAGCGTTCGGATTGCCGTAAGTAAGCCGGAGCTTATCGAATAGGACGGTAGGCGATTTTAACGACGGGGAGTTAGTAAAAGCGATGAACGGCTTTTTAATAGCGGGTAATAAGTAGGCGAGTAGGTAATAGAACTACACTTCTAAGTCGCTAATAGCGGGGCTATCTATATAGAGTTTCGCTTACGCGCTTAAAACCTAGGTTTCGAAATCTTCTTTACTACTAACGAACTTTTTAAGTTAGGGAAACACCTGCTTTTGAAAGACAGCGGGCCTCAAAATAACCTCGATCAATAACGTTTAAAAGGCGGCTATAAATTATTATAAACGTTCTTAGGGATTTTAAGACTAAGGGATTGTAGGGAAGGCGGTCGGCGTTATTATTGTAAATAGGGGAGACTCTTCGGGCGTACCTACAAGAAAAGGGCAACGGTATTAATTTAAAAAGAGGGTTAAATATAATATAACAGGTCTACTAGAGTATTGTACAGCGAGTAGTCGTATATGGTTGAAATATTATATTTAATAAAGAGAGTAAGAGAGAAGACTATACTAGAAGGGTGTAGTCGAAAGAAGGTTTTATAGTCGGGCGTACGGGCCAGGCAAATATATAATCCGACCAATTAGGAGGCTCGTATCCTTATCGATACAGCCTACCCGGCTTAGCAGACTTAGTAAAGCCGAGTCTCTAATCCTGGGCACTAGCCCTATAATAATTAGTAAAACGCTGCTAATCCTCCTTTCTACCACTAAGTACTTCTAACTATAATTCCGGACGCTCCTAAATCTTTAGCTCTAATTTTAATTATAATATTCGAGAAACTAAAGATTCTAAAAGAGAACCTTCAAACCCTCCGTACGGATTAGAGTAATTTAGTAACTTTATAATCGTTATTATTTACCAAATTATTTCGGGCTAGCCAAGATTTAGTTACTTTAGTAAATACTACTATAGAATTTACTTACGTTACTAGATATACTACAACTACAATTGCTATTTATTTAAATACTCTTATAACCGGGTTTAATATTCGGATAGTTAGAATAGTTTAAACTTTTTAAAATAAAATAACGGCCGTAGTAATAGAAACTCTTTTTAATAAAATAGCTATAGAACTAGAAATTCGTATTAGTATTTAAAAGAATATAGGGAATAATAGAAGTGAATAGGGTATTACCGGGTAAAAAGGAGCTACAAACTTATTTAAGGTTATTATTAAGTAAAAAGGACTTATTAATACTAATAGGAGAGGGGGTAGTAAATAATAGGTCGGGGAATATTAGAATATTAGAAGAAGAAGTAAAAGAGGTAATAAAAGTTATAGAAATAGTATAATAAGAGGAAAATATACTAGAGGAGAAAATAAAGTAAAAAAAATAATTCAGTTTTTGAATTTAGTAGAGGAGATTACCTCTCCTTTAAAAAAGAAGAGAAAGGTACAGGTTCCCTATAGTAATGCTACTACAATATTATTATCCCTAAATATTACAAACGGATCGGGTACTAAAGTGGTATTAGGTACTAGAAACTCTAAATAGGACGAATTAATAGAAGAGGCGCCTTAGTTTTAAATAAGCAGCCGCATCTTTTACCTCCGGGTACCAATTTTACTTACTCTTTTTACTCTACTAATATATTCCCCTTCGTAAATTAATTTATAAGTCTATTATTAACTCGAATATTTCCGTATTATTTTTTAAAGAATTCAAATACTTCATTATTTTAAAAGTCTTTAAACCGGTACTATAAAGGCTTATAATAACCCTTCTACTTTACAAAGACCATCTAATTAATTAAGGTTCCTCTAATATACAAGATCTTCTTTATATAATACTCCTTCTCTCCTTCTACTACTACTAGCGGCAATTATTTATCAGTTAGAACTTAATTAGGTAGAGGGTTTCTAATAGCCTACTACAGGAAATTAATAAAAAAACATTATAAATATTATTGAGGAAACCGGAGAATTCTATAATTAGTAGCAAAAGTACCTTCGAAATAATATATTTAACGTACAACTAATCTAACTTCTTCTTAAATTTTAATAAAATATAATTCTTAAAATGAAATTATATTTTATCACCTATTTAAAACCTCTCTATAAGCTAACAAGAACGGTTAACGGACCTTTCCTACTCTTAGGCCGCTATAACTATTGTAATTTAATATAAATCTGTAATTTATAATAACTTTTAAATAAATTATTAGGCCCGGACGTTAATGGGGGTATAAGAGTCTCTAATAGCCTTAAAGACCACCGGGACTACCAATTCCAGGTTGAATTTATAAATAATAAAGAAAGGAAATATACTAATTAAAGTATTAATACAACTATTAATAACTAACTATACCAAGGAATACCACTTATATTAATTATTTTATATTTAATTAATATACAACCTTAGAAAGACTTATACTTCCTAATTTATCTATTCTAAGCTACTATCGGTCTAGAGGTAGTAAATAATACTAAAAAACTATTTAATCCTAAGTAATTTACAAAATTTATTTTAAAACCGCCCAATCTAATTAAAGCTCTAATTACTAACTATAGATTGTAGCCAACTATAGAACTGTATAAAGCAACTTATAAATCTTTTAATACAAACTTTGGCGTTTATTAATAATATAAACTCTAATATAATATTTTTACTAAGGCGGTCCTTAATAATAAATAAATAAATATTCCCTCTAATTAACGGAAAGTTCGTAATAAAATCCATCTACACTTCCTAAAAAAACTAGTCCAATACTAATTTTAATTAGAGCAACCCTTTTCTCTAGGCTCTCCAATACTTAATAGAGCCATATATATAGTAATTATATAGGAATTACCTTATATAAATTTATAATAATAATTAATAAAAGTACTAGACTAAAGCTATAATAGTACCCTCTCTACTGGGGTACCTGAATATTTAGCAATCGTACGTAATCTAAATAATATGGGTACGGAACGTATTAAACTCCCGGTCGGAATTAGATAATTTTATAACTTCCGCTTTAATAATTACTGGATACCCGGGGATTTACAACCTCTACTAATATTTTAAACGCTTAAAACCGTTAATAAAATAGTTAATAATCTAGATTTTAAATTTAAAAAAAGGGAGTAAATCTTTTATATTATCTTTTACTACTTAAATAATTTACTAGTATACAATATTCTTCCCTATAGTAGAATCCTAGAACTATTATAAATCCGGATCTTTAAAAACCTTTATACCCTTCCCCTGGGCTATTCGAAAACTCTAAAGGCTTATCGCCAAAATACGAACGTAATTATATAAAATAAATTCAGGAATAAACTAGAAGTCCTAAACTTCCTTATTATTCTCTATAGACTAATTTTAATTTTACTAAAACAATACATCCAGCACTACCGCTTCCTTACCTAATTAATAACAAAATTCAATAGTAAACCGGGAAAAGTATTTAACTTAGTAAGCCTACTAGTCAAATAAATACTACCAAATTAGAAAATATTCTAAATTATAGTAATCTATTAAAATTGTAAAACTATTGTAACTACACAATTCAACCTACTATTCTTATAAATAATCGATAATTACCAACATCTCTTTATTATAAATAAAGTAATTATACTCGGCTAATATTAACTTTCTTAAATAGAACGGTACAATACATCTCTAACTATTTACTTCCTAAATCAAATAACCTCCTAATACAAAGCTACTATAATTAATCTTAAAGCAAATTAGGCACTTAAGGTCTCACTTAATTAATATAAATATTCGAATGAATAGTATCTTTAATAATTAAAAGGCCTCTTTACAAACTATAAACTACTTAAATAAGATTCCCTTACTAGTAAATATTGTAAATAGTATTATTACTATAATAAATTCTAATATAAATATTTAATAATAATTTATAAACTTTAAAAAGTTCCGGATTCCCTTTTAGGATATTAGCACCGCCTACTCCATAAATAATTTTAATTTTCTTAGAGTTAATTTATATACTAATACTTATATAAATAATAAAACTAAAATATTTAACCTTCTTAACTATAAACTCGTACATATTAGGATTTGAATAGAATTTAGCGCCCTAAAAGCATTTAAATACTATATAAACCTTCTATATATAATCTTCCCAAAACCTATCTGTAAAAATTAGAATATTATTTATATATATTAAATAAAAATTGTTAAAGAATTCCTACAATACTTAATTAATATACCGCCAAAAGGCAACTAAAACTCTATATAACTTAAAGGGGACTATAAACTACTTAAAGAGACTATAGTATATTCGAAATACTATTTTATATTCCTCTCCTTCCGCTATCCGTATTTTATAGAATATTTATACTATATTTACTTTCGAAAACTACTTTATACCCTCAAATATTTAGAATATTTCCCGGATAAGTAGGAGGGGGTATTAGTCCGCTCGAATAATTATATTAAAGGCCTAATAATTATACTAAAAATAAAAACCTTTGTCTAACTTCCAAATAAAGAGGACGGAGACTCTAATAGCCGAATTATTAACCCGGATAAATCCCTTATCTATTAAATGCCGGAGCGTTTTTTTAAATATTAAAAATTTTTCACGAAATATATTATATAATAAGCTAAAGGGAAGAGGGAAGTCCTTACTATCCAATCCTTTCTTTAACTCAATTTTTAAATTAACCCCTAATTTATAATTATTAAAGCAATTTACTTCTTACTTCCTAAATAAGAGGATGAAAACCCAAAAATTCTTAGGAATAATTCATTAGAACTCTTTATCGGTCTAAACCTATTTAAAAATTAGAACCTTCTTAATATCCTCGAACTGTATAGCGAATATAAAGGCTTCTATAACGACCCAGCCTTCCTATTCAATAATTCAGCGAATATACCCAACAAAAATAATAGTAAAGACGTACATTACTCCTTTAAATTCTTTGAAGAATAGGTATACTAAAATTTCTTTTTGTAAAGGATTAAATATACTTAATTAATTATTAATCACGGTTTTCTAAGGATAACGGAGTACTCGAACTCTGGCACTATATATATACAAACTAATAAAATATAACCTTAGAACTCTATAAGAAAATAAGTAATAATTTAAATAGAAGTACCTTCTATAATTACTATAATACCCCGGGTTTATCAGGCCGGAATCGGAACAATAGGGATTCAGAGGTCCCGAACAATATTTTTACTAATAGCGGTATAGTACTAGTAACCTTTATTAATGAGGGTATAGATTAAATTAGTAGAATTAATAATAATTAGTATTAGAATTAGTCCAATTTCTATTTAGGTCTTAAATTTTTGTACTTTATTTAATACCTTATAGGTAGGTTCTAACACCCGACTTCGTACTAGAACTATTCTTTTCCCTAATCCGATTCGGAATTAAAGACTTTAATTACTCGAAACTCCTTATCGAATAATAAGGCTACCTAAATAGCCTAAATACGTACTCTTTTACTTTAAGGGTTTATAATAAGAAAGTAAAAGTATTTAATAATAATATAATTAATAGCGCTATAGTAAATATACTATCCTTCAGTATAGTGCTTATCCTTCTCTTCTTACAATACCTATTTAACTTATTCTTTTTACTAAGTAGAAGAAAAACTTCTACTATAAGTACTGCAAATATTAATTATACCTATAAAAATATTACTATTGGTATTATATCGAATCCTAGAGGATAGGGCGGAAGGGGAACTGCAGGTCTAATACTAAGAGCTAGAACGGCCCGAACTGGAAACAATAGGAAAATATACTCTAAACCGCCGGTTACTCTAATTACTATTCTAAAAGTAATTTTAATAGAGGGTTCGGAATTCTACAATCTTCTTATACTTATAAGTAATATTCTAAAACTACTCTACGCAAATGAAATAAATATTAAAGAATTTAATAGTAAAAAAATAATTACTAAATTTCTTATTAATAGTATAATGAAGGAACCCTAGTTTAATGCGGCTATCCTAATTATAACCGCCAGCTTTTAAAAGCTTATTATCAAAATTAGTAAAGAATTCAGAGAATAGTTCGCCGTCCTTCTATTTTATCTTATCGAGGTTATTAAAGGCGTAATTTTAGGTATAATAAGTATTAAAGACTTATTGAATTTACTCGAATAGTTCGGTCGATTCCTTATTATTAAAGAAGGTATAGGCAGTCTAATAGCCCTCTAGCCACTACTATTTATTAATTAATAAAGTATTAAAAATTTCAATCTATATAACGTTGGGATCGGTACATAAACTAGCTTTAAAGTCTATATTATACGTCTTAATTAACTTATTATAATAGAAGAGGAAAGTAGTAGGTTTACTATCCTATTTAAGGAATTTGAGCGGTTTCTATTAGTATAGTCTATTAAAATTATTATTGGATTCCTCGTCGTCATTGGACTTAGACTTTCCTTTATCCTTACTACTACTAGGGGAATCCTATTTAATAGGGTACGTAAATTTAAACTTTAGAGTAGGCTAGGAATAGACAAAAAAGGGGATTATAGACTTAACCTTCCCCTTCAACTTTAAGCTAGCCTATAGAACTCGGAGTAAATTACTAAATACACCGGTAATATTAGGGGGTATTCTAATACTCCTAATTACTAGAACATTGCAGGAAGCTTCTATATTAGTATTAGTATCGTCGTTATCGTTTAATATAGAAAGGAAAACTATTTTAATACTAATATACGCTATACTATTAATTATAAGTAGTCCTTCCTTCCAAAAGTTAACTAATAAGAAGGTAGAATTTAATATAAGAGGATAATAGAGCGATATACGGGTACTAGCTACTATATATATATTAAGGTTCTATAAAGAAAGAAAGTAGAGTACGCTACCCTATAGGTAGGTTAAATACTAGACTTTAAATAGCTATACACTCTAGTAGTGCCTTGTAGTCTATTGTAGTAAGAGAATACTCTAGAAGCCTAGAGCACCGTAGTACTGTAGTCCGAATTGATTAGGGTAGTCTCAATATAGGTTGCCGTCTTAGCACTCAAGTCTGGCCAATTAGAGCTAAATGCCTTATCGGGCGCCAGTCCTATAACATTGCTAATTATAGGTACTAAGCTAGTCTTAGTTCTTAGACCCACTTAACTTCTAAAACCCACCCTACCCCCGACCCTACCTCCTGTTTTTGTAGTAATAGGTTTGAGTGTATTTTGCACTTTTTAGCTGTTAGTTGCAGAAGAATAATTAAGGATTACTATATATTTCAAATCTAAGAAAATTAAAAAAAAAAGAATGTAAATTGTGTTTATAGAGAACCTTTTATCCTAATTCTAATAGTGATCTTAGTTTTCTCATACGACTAATAATCGTCGAAATGCAAGGCTTTGAACTTTAAAGCTTTTACTTTCTTAAAGCTACCTTACTTTAATAGGTAGTTTATACTTTATAGAAATAATATTATTAGAACTGCCGTATTGAGGCTATCTTCTATATAACTGTATTTTATTTATTATATTAATATTGGGGTTAAGAATAGAAAAGAATTAAAAGAACAAAAATAAAATACTACCCCCTCAAAATTGCATTACTTCAACGGGTAGTCCGAGCGCTATAGAAATAGTACTATTCGAATCGTCTTATTAAGGCTATCCTTGACATATATTTCTTATAAGTATATAGTTATAAATAAAATTGAAAATAAGGAGTGTCTAAAACCTTAAAAGCAATTACTATTATAGAGCTAGTGTCTAGGATTAAAGACTCGGCTTTACTAAGTCTACTAAGGCGGGTTAATTGTATCGATAAGAATATAAGCTTCCTAACTGGTCGGATTTATATATTTGTATAGCCTGTGCGCCTAACTATAAAACCTTTTTTTAACTGCACCCTTCTAGTACAATCTTTCCTCCCTTACTCTCTTTATCAAATTTAGCATTTCAACTATTATATAACTACTCGCTGTATAATACTCTAGTAGACCCGTTATATTATATTTAACCCTCTTCTTAAATTAATACTATTGCCGACCTTTTATAAGTACGCTCGAAGAGTCTCCCCTCCTCTATTTATAATTATAACGCTAACCGCTTTCCCTATAATCCTTTAATTTTAAAATTCCCAAGAACGTTTATAGTAATTTACAGCCGTCTTTTAAATATTACTAACCGAGGTTATTTTAAGGCCTGCCGTTTCTTAAAAGTAGGTACTTCCTTAGTTTAAAAAGTTCGTTAGTAGTAAAGAAGATTTTGAAACCTAGGTTTTGAACAAGCAAGCGAAACTCTATATAAATAGCCCTGCTATTAATGATTGGAAAGCGTAGTTCTACTATTTCTTCACTTACTTATTGCCTACTATTAAGAAGCTACTTTATGCTTTTACTAGTTCCCTATTATAAAGATCGCCCGCCGCCCTTTTCGATAAGCTCTGGTTTATTTATAGCGATCTTAATACTATAAAGTACGTTGGCTAAGAGTTTTACTCACTTTATTAGAAGTTAAGCGAGTTGATAGTAGTTTTCTTCGCCTACTTTAAGAAAGTACTTTATTGCATTTACGCTAATTCTTCGTTAGAAGTAGCTAAAATTAGTTAGTTGATAGCCTCCCTAAATAACGATTGGAAGTAATGGCTTTTAGAAAAAATCAACGTGCCTAAATAATATTTACTACTACTTAAATCCTTTAGCCATTTTAATAATAATATTTTTTTCGTCTCGTTTTCTACGGGGCAACCGGTTAATAATAATAATATTAATATTCCTATAGATACATTTATTAATACTTTAGTAATAGTATTAAAACCGTCGCCGTTATAGAAGTAGAGAAATAGGTGGAAGAAGGAAGGCAAGTGTACTAATTGCGATAGCGGTTTATACTAGTTTAAAAAGTGCCCTCAGATTTCGAAGATGAACACGGTCTGGCTACAATCTAGTGGAGGCTTAGACAGCTACGGTAGTAATATTGAAGAGAAGGAAGACTTGGACTAAGATATATTTAATAATATTAGGAGTAGATGAGAGCCTTCTTGGTTTGCTGGGTATACTACCTGCTAGTCGGGTGTGTAAGTAAAACTATAGTAAAATACTCTCTATAGTGTAATTATATTAACGGTGTCTATTAGAAAATATAATCGGAGGAGGGTAATAAATATTATATTTTATAAGTATAAGAACTATTGAACTATATTTATAGTAGTAAAGATAAGGCTCCTACTAGTAAGAGAAGTAGAGTGATACGAAGTATTGGGTAATAATTACAATTTAATTATTTGCTAGCGTATATAGATTTGTAGCTCTACGGAAGAGGAATCGCCTAATGGGCGTAGTTTAGACCTTTAATTTAGTCTTAATACCTACAGTTATAAGGGCGTAGCTCTGTAAGGGTAACGGCGGGTACGCTAGTTATTAATTCGGATAGAGGGTAAGTAATTGTATAGCGTTTATTCGGAGGCTTAAATAAAGAAATTTTTCTTTTTTAGTATTATTATTTGTACTTAGTTAAATATTTAATTGGAAACGGTTATAAGGGACTTTAGTTATTTCTTTATATATTTAATAAAGTATTTTCTAGGGTAGTAGAGCGCGCTTCCTAAAAAGGAGGAGTAGGGGGGTAATATTATAAGGCTAGTGCTTAGGATTAAAAATTCGGCTTTACTAAGTTTATTACAGTGGGTTAACTATATTAATAAGAATATAACCCTCCTAATTAGTCGGATTTACATATTTGTA